AGGTATGTAAAAGAGAACGAAGGGAGGCGTCAGCAGTAGCCTGTTTTCGCTTACCCGCCCTGCTGTATGCAGCAAGTAAGGCGACCCGGCTGATGGAACCACGCGACGGCCGGTGTGGCATGAGTTTATTTGTATATGTGCAGTTCATGGTTGTACGTGGGCTGGGATACTGCCAGGGTGCCCACACTTAGACAGGAGGATGATTAGGGTCCTCACTCAAAGCCTTTGGCTCAAAAGCCTAACCGCAAGGCAGCGGCGTTTGGCGGGAAATGCGAATGTATTACCATTTCTACGGAACAAGTCGCCACATGTTCCAACCCCCAACCTGGAGGGCCAGGAAACTGTGTTCGTCAGACCTCTAACCAGTGACCAACCTGGTGCGAGAGACTTTGTGAGTGTCGCCGGACACTCCAGTATAGCTCAATGGATCGCTGAGGTGCGCAAACCGTCACGCCACTGTAAGGTCCAACTCTTCGTGATGGATTTGCATTTAGTTAAGAATCAAACGACAATTTCCAGAAAGCTAGAGAGGGCTATCTAACGCAATTCTAATACGTCAGGATGGAGTTCAGAACCCCTTTTTTCTTAAATCAGAGTGAATGGCATCTGCAGGATTGTCGTGCATTAACATGCAACATCGAGGAATTCGCTAACCATCTGTTGAGTGCGCCGACCACCAGCTTTTCGCTCAGCGCTTTACTTTCGTAGTTCTGGTGAGTCTAGCATGAAAAGGCACCCCCTCTTCTAGGTCTCCGGGATCCTTGAGTCGGAAAAGGTAAAATTCGAAACAAAGAGACTTTCTGTGCTAATTTCTGAATACGCCGAGAAAGATCGCGAACCGAGGATCTCCTTCCGGAGATAAATGAAGAACTATCGGACGCCGAGGGGTGACCGTTCCATCCTGAAACCGCGGAAGATCCCTGCCTATGGGTGGGTGCACTCTATTTTTGCATCCTCGGGTACTCTGTTGGGCTCGTGGTGAAGACAGCAGATTTGTGAATACTCCATTGCAACTCCATCAGTCCATGGAAGAAGCATGAACGCTGTCTCACATCTTCACAGTATTCATAACGGATGTCAACGTCCTTTTCATTTCAACGAAACAGACGCTGCGTCTTCATTCAACAAAATAACGAGGACATGGTGGTTACAAGTAAACCCGGAGAAAAAAATCATCCTTAACAAACTCAGAAAGATGTTCAGCGTGGACCCGCGCGCGCCCAAAAGAGTTCGAGCATGATGACTAATACACTGTAGAAGCTCAGGATACCCAAGAAAAGTTAAACGACGTACGCCACTTACACAACGTATCCCTGTGCTCCAGACCCGATCGGTGTCAGGTTAGAATAACGCATCGGTATGACGAATCTTGAGTCACCAATTACTTTCACATGGTAGCCTGGAGGGACCTCTGCGGACATGCCTGACGCACAGCACAAAGTGGGCTAAAGTTAGGCCCGAAAGGTGGCAGAAAACCCCGCTCTTTACTGAAGGTCAGTCTGCCAGTCACTCAGTTCAATTCAGTAGGTTCAACGGGTAGCCAACATGTAACTGGTTCTTGTCCAATCTACGCGGTGGCATGGATTGTCCATTCACCAAGATCGATTTTGAAACTTCATCTGACCTATTCTTGAGGCTGTGTTCGACCAACTGTCGCAAACACGAGGTAGTAGCCGGAGGCCCGTAGAATCGGGGTGTTCGGAATCGATTGCTGCTCCCTGGGTGGGTGATTGAAAGTGATGGGAACAGTTACCCATCATGAATGGCGGTGGTGAGTATAACAGCGTTAATAGTTTCTAATAGGGCTTAAAGAGAACATACTCGAACGGGTTGGATATCAAATAAGCCCACCTCTGAACCTGGTCTAGTACTAGCCGGTTGGTGAAGTGTAAATCAGCCTTCACCAAAGTTGGATTAGTAAATGTTTGAGAAGAAAATGGTCACTTCAGTTAAAGAGACCAGAGAATGACGTCTGAAAAAGCGATAAATGGACTTTACTGGTCAATGTTGTAAGGATAAGACTGCAAAATTCATAATAGGCTAGAAGAGTATGAAGAACTGTGTCAGGAAACAATATGCCAAAAGTGTTTATATTTGGCCAAGGGAATGAGGGGAGGATGTGTGGGACGCCGCTTGAGTGTGAGCAGAACATTAATATGGGATGGACGACGCTACACTTCGAGGGTGTTAAATTTTTTGTGTATGTACGAAGAGAACACGAGGATGTGGAAGGGTTGAAAAAAGATTCTTCACAAGTCAGCGCAACCTCCATTGAAGGATTTGGTAGTGGTATACCAGCGGACTGTATCTGGGACAGGGAGGATCAACTTTTCTTGAAAATATCTCAGAAAAGAGCCCATACAGTGTTCGTCCGGTGTCAACGTCCTCAGCACAGGCTGTCTGAGGGCTATCTTTATACAACGCCAATAACTGGCAAAAATAAAGCCAAATACATCACGCTTAAACCTGGGGTTCCAAACTTGGTTGTGGTGCTCCAGAAGAAACCAAGGATGGGCGGTGAACAATGTTGGGAGGGCGGTTTTTTGGAGATTCGCTATGGATAGGATGAACCAACCGTATGGCATTAGTGGAGGTTTCGGTTACCCGGAAACAGTCGGTATAGTGTCTGATTTGCTGAGTTTGAATGAATGAGATTGACGTCATTAAGTTCCTACGCGCAATCCTGTCGTAGCCGATTACGAAAGAGTTTTGATTACGCTGAGATGAACGGACACTGAGGACTTTGTAGGGTATCCCGGTTGTTTTAAAATTTTGCTCAGTCAGCTGTATGTAGCACGTTCGAGCATCCGGCGTTGATAAGCAAGGCAAACGTTTGCTGAATTTTGTGGATGATTTATCATAATTTCCTCGGGAAACTCCGCTTATGGCTCGAAAGGTCCGAAAACAGAGCTTTCCGGCTGACGTGGAGGGCTAGTATTCAGCGAAATAGAATGCCATTGTTGTTAGGCTCTTCCCATCTAGGAAAGGTGATTGTGTGGAAACCCGTCAGGTGTTTTAGGAAAAGTTAGACAATTACGGTTGTTGTTTCTCTTTTACTGGACTTTGTTCTGAAGGTGGGAGTAACATAGCGGTTTTTCATGACAGATAGATGTGGCCTGATACCAGGATGAGTAGGGTGGATCAGGCCTTCTCAGTCTGATGCAGGAGGTCGACAAGAACCATAGGACGGCCATCTGGCGCATTGTGGTGCCCCCCTTTCATAGATGTGCCAATAAAATCCTACTTTTATGGCGTATAAATAACACTAATCACTAGGCTTTTATAAATTAAAAACGATCAAGTATAGAAGTACGATAGCGCCGGCATGCCTTTTCAGTTACATTGGGGCTGGATCCTGTCTGGCAAGTGCAGGCTCTAGTATCACAAATAGGTGCAAAAAACGTACTCTAGAATCCACATTAGCCGAAGACCTTGACAGTGGTATGGTATCAAATGTATACGTGCAAATGTCTGCGGGCGTTCAGACCATTTCAGAAGGTGAAGGTGGGATTCCCGCACGTAGACAGTATATCAGATGGGTTCCAGTGTGTGGTTCTCAGAAACTTGATCGGCCAGGCGCAACGATCGGGTTCACAAGAGTTCTAGTTGCCATTGAGGACCCGGAAAATCACTTGGTCAATGTGGGGAAGGAGGATGGGTTCCGTCAGACCTCTCAGCTGGGTACACCCGATGCTGAGGACAAATTCGAAAAGTGACGGTTAACATTGGTTGCGAAACCGAGTTTGGTTGCCTAGGTGTTAATGCCTGTCACTGAAATTGACTGTGTGTAGAAAAGCATCGAATCCTGGTGGACGGGAGGTCAGTGCCACCGATCAATGGGTGGTTTGACAAGGTCCACACTTGCCGATATTTTTAATAACCAGGTGCTAGGTAATGTGACAGACGCGTAAAAAATAACCCGTGCCCCCCTTAGTGGATAGGGCGTAGTTATGGGATACGTCCGTTCAGACATACCCTAGGCCATAAAGTGTTAATAAACGATAGTTGAGCGGAAAATATGAAGCCAAGAAGCATGTTCCGAGCACGATGGGATAAAAAATGCTTGATGTGACTTAGAGAGGCTATTTTCAGATCCACTGAGTCAAGATTCACCAAGTAGTATTGAATAAATTAATGTCACTGATACTAAATCGTGAAGCTCAGAGGTCTTACATGTGTCTTGGTAGTTTGCATGGTTGCACTTCAGCCCTGCCTATTCTGCCACTCTGTTTGGCTGACCAGAACTCGGAGACAAGAGGGAAGTGTGGGGTGTGCGAGGGGAGGAGGCTGATCGGGCCGTTTGGAAAGAAAAAACGGGGCTATGCGAGGATGACATCCTGCCTTAGGGTTAGGTCGGGGATAAGACCAGTGAAGGTTGGGAAATATACTTGCAGGTGAGGTGAACCAAGGAGGATAGGGATCATAAGCAGGGAAAGATGGTTGCAGGAAATAAAATGGAGTTTTATAGTTGAGTGCTAAGATGAAGAAGGAGAGTATGTGAGGGTAGCGGTCTTTGGGAAACAAGCCGGTCTATGACCATTACGGGTGAGGTGTTTTGTGAGGCATCTCGCACTAGTAGGGTGAACGAGTGTCCGAGCGAGTAGTCCATTGTTCTTTTCAGAATGCTGCGTTACGGTTATGGTTCATTTTCAGTTGCCATAACAGCCGGGTACCTTGACTGAAAAAACATTGATAGATTCCTCTGTTTTCTGAGTGGGGTCCTGAAAGGTCGAGAACGAGGTGGTGTTGCAGTAAAAGAGGTCCAGTGATGTACTGACTGCATCGTAAGCTGTTTTAAAGGTGCGCGGGCCTCTGGTAACGGTTGTTCTGCCCACAGCTTATGCGAAAGTGATAAGTCGGTGAATGAAAGGCTGAGGCCTTCTAAAAAACGGCTAACTTTGTTGATTTCATGCAGAGGTACATCGATTCTCCTGTGTTAGACGTTTTCGGGCCTTCGTCCACTAAACAGAAGGTATCAAATTATGGGGATTTTACACCTGGTCCCCAGGTCGGTATATACAGGGCACCATCTTTAGGAAATGATGCGGTGGCTTTCCCTTCCCTAGAAAATAAAGTAAATGTTAACAATGCCATGCTGAATGCCTTTGGATTGCTTTTTTCCCGAATCGTTTGAAGGATTGCAGGAAACAGGTCAGTTGGTCTGTAGAAACTTTGATACCAATGCTGGGAGGAAACCGTAACAGCTGACGGCAGGGAGTTAAGCGGCAAAAGTGTGAGCTATAAGGGAACACAGGTACATGTTTCGACGGCATGTTGTCCAGAGGTTGCCACAAGCCAATTTTGACAGCGCTAATAAGTGGCCATGGGGGCAAGATACTTTTTGTGGTACAGCATGAGCAATATCACATAACTAGGATTCAGGCTTACGGTTTCGCCAGTTTTCTGTGGATAATACACCAAGTAAGAAGTGGTAGGTTCTCAGACAACAACCCTAAGTGTATACGTTAACGGACGCTGTTCCCGTAAGATATTTGGGCAAATTTTAACATGCGCAGACCGGGAAGGAAATTCCCCCTGTCTTTTTCGCGCCTGTGCACAAAAATGGATGGTGACGCACAGAGAACTTGTGAGAAACTAACCAGGAACTATGCCTTTCGCAACAGTTCGAGATGAAATCAAAATTAAACATATCGCAATGGAGAGCTGTCTTCTGGGCTCCAGGATTTTCTCACTGATCCTGTAAAGCAATCGCTTTTTGGATATCCCCGTTTTATTGCAATATCAACAGCAACGAAAAATGTTTGTTGGTGTGATATTCTGTTGTCTCTTTGAGACAATTCCGTTGACTTTATCAGGAGAACGGGGTGTTCACATTAAGCGGGTAGGATTACATAAGCATGAATGATAAAATCAGACATAGAAATTGATAAGGAGTGTCAGCTAACTCTGCGGCTTTCCCGTTTGGCATGGTTTTCTTCACGTTTATACTTTTTATACACCTTTTTCTTTTCTACTTTCTTTTTCATTAGCGTAACTGGTCGGCGGGGTGTTCGAAAAGGGTTTCATACTTGCCTGGCAGAATGTTTCGACAGACTGTTCCGCTGCCCAGCACACACGATATGTCGACGTGTCATTTAGTTGGGATTCTCCTACACGTATAAAATTCTCGGGGAAACCCCTTGTCAGGTGGCAATTCTTCCTTGCATTGTGCGCACAAGAGATCCAGAGCACGACAGGCCGTCAGTCAGAATTATCGACGAACCAAACCATATATGGGCAAATCGGCTGACTAGATAAAAGATGGAGCGCAACTTCGATTTTGCCCGGATAGGTGGCATTTTAGATGCACAGGTTTGCAGGATGACAAGATAACCTTTTGTTCGCGTCAGCTTCCCAGATATTCTATGAACTCTATAGATAGCGAGACGCTCGTTGACAACCAATTTGTTGCCGCCAAGTTGTGAAAATTTGTACAAATCTCCTTTATTGGGAGCTCGAGGACAATATGGTACTGCTTTCAAATGCCTTTCAAAACGCAAAAAAGAAAAGTAGCAGCGTCGACGAAAGTCGACAATAAAATCTACTCTCTGAACAAACATTCAGCGTTTCCCATCGCAGGTGGTTGAATACGAGGACGATGGTCTAACTGACGCCGTATTCAAGATCGCCACAACATAGCCAGTGAACAGGCGAACGACAGATTCTAAGATCATCTGCGGCTCGTCCCCAAAAAAGTATGCCAATAACACTGGAGAAGTCGACCGTTTCTTACAAAAATTGCAGGCAGACTGATCTTACGGAACGAAAAACAAGCTTTCAGGCTCTTTGCCACTCCTTCCTTTCTAAATGCCCTACGGAGAGCCCGAACTGGCCTGTTCCATTACAAAGTCCTTTCTAGGGACAAGATATATGTCTGGGGATCATGCGGAAATTGGGCTAGGTGTGCTTCAGAGATAAGGATTGAAACAAGTGTAGTCTTTTTAACAAATGAAACGGTCTAAATTATCTGTCCACCAAATAGCTTTTATGGGTAAACCACGACTACAGATTGCGGCTCTACTCAACTGTAACATATCCGCTGTCTACCACCGACATCGGTGCTGAAGTTAATGAAAATCCCACTGGGACTGAACTTGCCGCATATATGTGGAATTATTGCTACAGATGCCTAATGGACGAACAGGGAACATGAGTGGACAGCGCTCTAATATCACAAGCTCCAAGATGGTTATGTTTTCTCTTTTTCAGAAATACAGGTAATACCACAAGCCGATCAGCTACGAACGTTGGATTCGATCGCAGAACCTGCTCAGAAAGTCTCACAATGGCTAGTTATTTAGCCCTTCGGCAGCTAAACTCGACGGTTTTACATCATGAGACAACCGCAGCGAAGCTAAGCACGAGATATCCCTCAGAATGTGTGAAACTATGGGCGTCAATTTGCGCTTTATCAGGAGCGGTCAGGACGATTGTCTGTACTGCATTTATGGCCTCCACTGTCAGGGCCGGGAATCCGACTAGAATGTACCTGAGGATTCCGCGTACATCAAGTTGGCCGCGCTGATCTTGAATGAGTTGGGGGGGGCAAAGCGAATGCAAAACGCAAGCGCCAGAAAACAAGCCTTTGAAGGACTCACTGAATTCAGGGTGTGGTCCTCTATGAAATCGTGCCTCCTTTGGGTGCCTTCAGAAGCAATATCCCTAATGGTTCAATAGTGTGAACTGTTTGACAGGGTCTTACCGAGTTGCCTCGACAACCATATCGCTCCCGGAGGCCCGAGGAGAACACAGAAGCGACTTCACTGTGAATTTTCCAACATCTATGGAGCTATAAACAAAAAAAACGCGAATGAAGAGTGCACCCCAAGCAGTAACCAATAAAACGTTCGTCCACCGGGGGACAGCATCCCCCGAAAACCGATAGTTTGTGCAAACCGAACTTTGAGAAAGAAAACGCCCCACCAATCAACAACAGCCGCCACATCGTCATCAGCATCATCGACAGGAAGACATCAGTGTTCATTATTGATGCCTAGCTATCGTATGGCCATGATTTAGTTCAAGAACTTATTGTGAAGAAAAGAATGGAGATGGATGGGAAGGGACATATGCAGCTTACTAAAAAACAATCCGAGTCGCCTACGTCTCCCAAAACTCATTCAAGCAATCTGGATGGAAACTGACAACAAGAATGCATTTGACATTCACTAGCAGCCATATCTTGTTGTGTCTCTATCAGCGTGAATCGTGCGGTCCCCATCCCGAAAAGCGAGTAGCACGAAGAGATTGGACCTTACGCTGGTGTGACGCCTGCGACCCATTGAGCTATACTAGTGGTATCCGCGTGACAGTCACAGCATATCTCATATCAGACTACTCAATGGTTAGAGGTGTAACGAATGCAGTATGCTTCTCTACCAGGTGGGACGCTGGGACATGCGTGGGATTTGTTTCATAAAAATGTTCATTTATTTGCATTTTCAGCAAAATACCGCTGCCTTAACTTCAGTTGTTTGAGCCCAATACTTTGATTGAAGGCCTTAATCGTTCGTTAGTTGTGTTTGGGCACCCTAAAAGTATTCCAGCCCACGTGCAACCATAAATTTAATTGCACAGCCACCACAAGATAACAAGAAATCAACAACTGGAAACACCGAGTCAAGATGCAAACAGTCACGCTTCATGAGCAGCGCTCAAGCCTTGGAGGACGCTGGTGAATGCTAATTAACTTTGCTGACCTTTCTCGTGACGCGAA